GTGAGTGCCCTTGCTGAAGTCCTCTCCCAATACTGGCTGTGAGTGCCCTTGCTGAAGTCCTCTCCCAATACTGGCTGTGAGTGCCCTTGCTGAAGCCTTGTCCTCTTTGCTCTACAGGTGTGATGAATGTCGTCTCTGTTATCACTTTGGATGCCTGGACCCTCCTCTGAAAAAATCACCTAAGCAGACAGGCTACGGGTGGATCTGCCAGGAGTGTGACACGTCGTCATCAAAGGTGAGTGCTGGCTGGTGTTTAGGGTGGGGCCTCTGTGGGGGGAGGGGAGGAGTCTCCCATCATATGGTCTTGAGCTTCTGAAGTCGCATACAAAGTAAGAACATTCACTCTGCAGAGAGAGCAGGGGCTGTCCCCAAACAAGCCCACTTCACTCAAACTTTAAAGCAGTTTTATGGAAGCATGGAAATGGTACAGTGGGGAGCTGTTGGCATGACACCGAAATGTGTGCAGGGGGTTGTGTGTTAAATAGCCCTGCAGGGGGCTGTGTGTTAAATAGCCCTGCGGGACCATGTCATACAGGGCATTTTTTTCCACTTTTCTCCCTGACAGCTATTAAATCCCAGAGGTTTATTAGGTGGTCTTTACATTAGGCTGTTATATTCTTGCTTGAACATTTCAGCAGGTTTACGAACCTGTGCTGGTTGTTTCCATTTATTTTTTTGCATTTTCTTCCGGAGGTACCACCCAGTTAACGTGTCACTTAATTTCTGCAACTGTGCTGTATTTTTGGGAAGTGACTGAGGTGGGTTCTGTGTAGCATGGCTGTAGGTGGAGGCACACTGTGAGTGTGGGTGGGGTTCTGGGCGTGGTTGACAGTGAGGCACGTTTTGTGGGTCGGCCTGAGGGTGAGATGCACCAAAGGAGGGTCGGGCTATTGGTGGGGCTGATGAACCGCATGAGCGTGTGGCCTGCTGTGAGTGAGGGCGGGACTGTGGGCGGATCTTAGGGTGAGGCCTGCTGTGAGTGAGGGTGGGACTGTGGGCGGATCTTAGGGTGAGGCCTGCTGTGAGTGAGGGTGGGACTGTGGGAGGATCTGAAGGTGAGGCCTGCTGTGAGTGAGGGTGGGGTTGTGGGCAGATCTGAGG